ACCGGGACCATTTCGTTTCGGTCATAGAATTATTTATAATAGATGTTTACATCAGACCGGGACGAAAATAACTCAGACCGTTCTCAAGTCATTCCCTTCCGCCTGCTGGACCGAGCCGATTGACTTCAGACCGAGATGAATGTAAACACAAATACATTTCAGACCGGTCTCGGCTGTAACCTTGACATTGGAACAATATATGTTAACAAAAGCCATCTAAAGGAGAAAGTTGCCTGGCAAGGGGAATACATTAAAATTTTGTGACTTTCGTACCGTACTACCGGTCTCATGCTGACAATTATTATAAGTAAACGCATGATTTGAGGGAAATTAGTGATTAAATGTCCCCGCAAACCGAAGGAGGTTTAGTAAAAGCGCCCGAGGGAGTTTTACTAAACCTCCCGGTCATTTAATCACTATTCGCTCAAAGAATGCGTTTAGTTTGTAAATACATGGTAGCCGAGGGAATCGCGTGTGGTGTGTTGCCTGTTTTGAATGCTGTTTGATTGTCTTATGAGTACGAACACTTTTCATATATACGCACGCGCAGAAACACATCTCCGTGTTCATTCATTTTAGGCATAAACGGAATTTTCTCCCACAATTGAAATGTTCAAGATTAAGCTTCGGATACACGAGCAATATTTTTGCTGCGTTTGTTACGCAATGGGTGATAACAGCATTGCGTTGCCGTCGCACAAGGTGGCTATACCTGCAATATTTCACCTGCAATATATGTCTTTATAACGCTTTTCATTGGCTGGTCAAGAAACGTGTCATTCATCAACCTTGACCTTCCTTGACCACATCTCCCAATTTTCGGCAATCATTGCCGAAAATCAAATGATTTGAAATTTCGGCAACGATTGCGCGCAGCTTTGCGTTGCCGTCGCAGAGCGTGATACACAAGCAATTTCTTTCTCGCGACGGCAATGTAACGATTTTACCACCATTGCATTGCCATCGCCAGAAGAGTACGGCCCGTGTATCCGTAGCTTTAGGGAATAAAAGCTGGCAAAGTGATTGTTCGAATGTGTACGGGACGGTGTCGTCAGATACTGTCCATAGTTGTGCCGATGATTTTCGATGAGGTGCAGCTCTCCAATCAGAGGTAATGAGGTACGCTTTTGTCTTCTAAATATCCCTCATCAAGCATGCAAGGGAAAATTAGAAGACAAAGAAATCCTTTGTTTTCAACCAAATATCCCCGTTTCCCGGGGAAATTTAGAAGACAAAAACGTATGCATGGGTAATGAGGGAAATACGTGATTAAACGTCCCTGTTGAAACAAAAGAAACCGAGGCTATCATGTGTTTATTCAATTTGAAATTTCGGTTTGACTTCGTCCCGGTCTCATGTAGACGGGGCCCAATGCCTAGGCTCAGATTCCAGCCGTTGTGTTCTCGGGCGAGTGGCGAGAACACAACGGCTGGAATCTGAGCCTACCCAATGCCGAACTGTTGCCCACTCACAACGGGGGGCGGAATATGAAATTTTACTTTGTGATCACGTCGAAAATTGCATATATTACATTGTTATGTATATTTTTTAATTCATAGTTGCTCTGCTTTCTCCATCTTGGACTTGACATTTTTCGAATAATTTTAAATTAATTATGCAATACACTGCTTACGTAACTGCATGTACGGCATTAGTGTTGATTGATCGCAGACTTATCTTTCCAACGATCTAATATGCTTTCCCAGTCATGGTAAACCCATTCTCTGTCTGACTGGGTCAAGTAGACATAATTGGATTTGCGAAGTTGCTGACCACCATATGCCACCTATTTTTTTTTAATTGCAGATCAACCGATGTGTCCCGCCATGTGTGGGATACCTGGACATAGCCAGGGACTGAGGTCGGAGACTTGGTGGGGCAATAATAAGGGCATCAGACTAACCACAAATACGTTGCATGTGTCAGGAACTGAGTATAGCGGAAATTACAAACCGGATGTAGAGAGGACGTTGTGGATGAATATTGTGAGTGAGTGTGAGAGAAACAGAGATGTGACAAAATTTATTATTAATATTTTCTTAAAATTCAACTTTTTGTGATTTGTTGTGAACACGTTCTAAGGGAGACATAGAAATTCACAACACGTGGCGCCTCAACGAACGGGATATTTGTGATTTTGTGATGTTTTAGCGTGTGTAAAAGTCGTAAACAAAGTGTGTTTATAAAAGCGATCGAATAAGGGAGAAACCGCGGAGATTACACAAAAAACCAAAACTAATTCAGCTTGGAAGAGCTAGAGATAAATCAAATAACGTTTTAAAAGAAGGTAAGGATCGAACATGTAATCGAAGACATATCGAAACTTTAAAAGAATCGCTAAATGAAGCTAGTGAACAAATGGCATAGAAGTGTTGAAGCCGAGAAATTTACATCGAAAGAAGAAGTGAGCAAGATCGATCAATGGAACAACGAAATAGAAAAGCATATAGAAGAAGCAGACCAAACAATATAATAGGTCTTCTCGAACAGTGGTTAAACGATACAGAAGTCAAACGTGAAGATCAACAACGACAAGAGCGTATGAATTTGGAGCTTAAACTTGAAGAAGCAAACATTTATAAATTGAAAGCAGAACACAAGAAAGTGTAAGCACCATCAAGTGACATCACAAACATATTCACCTGAGTACATAACATCAGAGTAACATCACATCATCCGAGTTACATCACGAACATCATATTCACCTGAGTACATAACATCAACACAGCTAAAAATCATGATTACTAGATTGCATTGATATCGAAGGAACTAGACTCAGTTCCGAAATATCACATATTCGAAGAAGTATAATAGGGCCATAGCCATTTTGAAAGACAAATTTAATTTGGCAAAGATAGTGAGTTCGTCAAAGCATATATGAAGGAAATATTCGATCTTCCTTATACCCCGTCATCAAACCCAAACAGGATTCTCGAATTTTATGAAAAGCTAGCATACTGTGTCCAGTCATTGGAAACCCTCAAAAAGCTGGATGCTGTAAATTGGACCGTTTCTATGACACTTGAAAAGTTATATACCAAACATTCGGGGGATTTGGTTCGCAATGATTCCAAGTGGGAAGTGTGGAAATACGTTTAACTTACTGAGGCCCTCAGACTGTGGACACGACGTAATCCAGTTGAAGCCAAGCAAGATGATCGAAACAAGAGAGAGCGGCGAAACCAGTACAATTTCCACACACAGCGAGGGAAACCAAGCAAAAACGAGTTGTGTATATTGCAACACAGAGAGTCACCGATCATCCGAATGTGATTCAATCTTGACATTATTAGACGAAAGAAAGAAATTGTTGGCAGCGAGGAAAGCTAAGAAACTGTGTTCCAACTGTACAGGGTCTTCCCATAGGGCATCAGAGTGTAGAAGTACATCAACTTGCAGGCATTGTAACAAAAGGCATCATGGTCAGAAGCAGTGATGACTGACAGAAAACAAGAAGACCAGGAGGTTATATTTATTTGTTTATTTTCTTTGCCATCATACTTATACATTCATTGGCCGGGAAACCACAACAGCTATTGCCAATTACAGCGGCCCTTATAGTTATACAGAAACAATTTACAAGATATACTAAACACCAGGGCCGCCGAGAGGGGGGGCAGGGGGGACAAATTGCCCCGAGCCCCGAGGCTCTTCGGGCCCCAAGAAATTTAATGTCGGGCCCAAGTCATTTTTTCGGGCGAAATATTTCTGTTTTCGGGCAGAAATATTTGTGTTTTGGGGGCAAAGTACCGAAATTTGGTATGGAAAATTGCGGAAAAGTCCCACGAAAGCAACTACAACGTACTTGTCCGGAAAAAGTTTTTACCTGAAAAGAAATTATTGTCCGAAAAATTTTTTTCCGGAAAATTTTTTTGCAATAGGGGCCCCTAAAAAAAATTTTGCCCCAGGCCCCCGCCAAGCTCTCGGCGGCCCTGCTAAACACACACAATAAACAATACCTGAACAACAGTCATTACATTATGTCTAAAAGCAGCATGTCAATAGAGATTTCATTAAACTTCGTACTTGTCGAAGTGGAGGAAATTAAAACCCATGCTCTTCTTGACACTGGAGCTGGTAGTTCCTATGCCTCGACCAAGATAATCAATGCTCTAAAGAAAAGACCCAAAGAAGTGAAGACAAAGAGAATCGAAATGATGCCGCCGCAATCGACAACTCGAATTGACATATGTTCGGCAAACCTCAAGTCGCTGGACCACTAGCACTGGTAGCTCAACTAATACATTTTATATGTTTCGTCTACATAGCCTTCTGCCGCCATATTCTACACATCAAACCTCAACTGTATCGCTACAATATGCATTCTATTTGCTCGTTATTCCACTCTATTTGTTCCTCAGTGCCATGTTTTTGCTTCAAGCTGCTCCATTTATACTGTTCGGAGTACTTCGGATTTTCGGAACACCAATTGAATCGAACCGAAGTAGGGGCAGCCAGAACAGTCATGTGACCGTCAGAACAGTCGTGTGACCATTATTGGTTCGATTTAATTAGTGTTCCGAAAATCCGGAGTACTCCAAACAGTAAATGGAGCAGCCCCGATTTTCGAGTAGGGGCAGCCAGAACAGAACACGTGATACTGCCCATTTTCGCGTCCAATGCACACTGCATAGAGTGTTATTTTGAAGGATTAACCGCTATATATCGACATATACTTATTACATGCTATTTGAAAGCCAGGATTGGGCAAAATCAACAAGTATAAACGTTGCAAACGCATACTTTGATATACAAATAACCGCAAATCATTATACGATTTATTATGCGAATAACTATCGTTGGTAATGCATGGTTGCAAGCATATGTAATAAACTAAACACCGTTCCAGAACACCGTATGCACTCCATTCCTTATCGTTCCAGAACAGTGTTCCAAAAGTTCTAGAACAGTGAATGGAGCAGCCTCCTTGTCCATACTTTGTTACATATAAGGTATGGTATTCCATATATGGTCAACGTATACAAGTGGTAGTGAAACGTTTCTTTGAATACCTAAAATGCACAGGAATTTGTATTCAATTTCATGGAGAGGTCGCGTGACACTTACACCGAATATTGCAACAAATTCACGCGCAAACATGGAAAAGTGTTTAAAATTACTACCGCGTGAGAGCTACAATACATTTGGTTTTGTGTTCCTTACTTTGTATGTAGCATTTGGCATCGGTATTACTGGGATCGCGAGTCATTTTGATTCGAAAGCGACGTTACAGTGTGACCCAGACAAGACTCTCGCCAGCTACACACCAACATGGTCAAACATTGAAACGCACTGCTTTCTCAAATACGAGCAAGAATTTTACCCTTTCTCTTTACCTGTTTATGTCCTGTTTGCGATAAATGTTGTACTTGTGATCGCTTTCAGTATTATCTACGCTTATTTGGTGAAACGTCGTGTGGAAATTTATAGAGATCCTCCGAATGCAACGACAAATGACTCAATTCAAAGCGAAAGTCAGCCACTGTTGCTTGTTTCAGAAGCTGCTTCAGATCCTATGGCGCACAAAAATTCTGGTGGCTATATTGTTTTCATACTATATATAACGCATTTGTTCCTTTGTCGTATAATACCTTTGGTAGGATTTGCCACAGCTTTGCTCTTAACTTCATCGAATTTTCCAGTCCAATTTCAATGTTCTTGGCCAATGATATCCACGAGTGCTTCCCACGCAAACTTTACACAACAACAAAGTACGAACTTCTCAACTGTGGATTGTACTTATCCTATGGGCAGCCAAACTGAAGAAGTAGCTTCTACCTTCATAACAGTAAATTTTCTTTTCGGTGCAGTTGCATTCACGGAGCTTGCCTATCTGTTGTGGTCAACATGGAATGATCGTAATCTCTGTACTAACATAGAATTTTGTTGTGTTTATCTTCTGAGAAAGCGTAAGAGTATCAGAAAGTTAATGGGAGATATCAGGGAGAATATATCTGATGACATATTTTGTTTGCATGATGACTTTGGTGAGCAAAGTTTGTCACGTCGAAAACTGGGAGAGATCTATGTTGATGTCATAATTCAAGAGGGGAGGGAGGGTACCTGGACAGGAGGGTTTGGAAATAGGCATGAGACATACGGAGCGCATTTTGCAACACCAGTGAATGTAACTATACTTACGAGAACTGAAGATTTGTTTCAACCCACACGTATTGACAAAAACCTTCCTAGAACTATTCTTGTTGTTGGCAGGCCAGGTATTGGCAAAACTCTCCTGACAAAAAAAAAATTTTATCAGTGGCAACAGCAAGGATCCATATTCTGGCATGGTAAAATAGTAATTTTAATTCGATTTCGCAATTTTAACAAGGGGGAAACAAGTCTTCGGGAAATGTTGCGTCAATCTGATGGACTCAATATGTCATCGGCTGATTTTAATTGTATCTATGAATATATTTGTTTGATTCCAAGAAATGTCATTCTTATTTTTGACGGCTTGGACGAACTTAACGTTAATGATCGGTCTTTACCTGAAGGAAAGACTGTAAACGATCACAATGAAGTTGCTCATATGCTCCTGATTTTTAAACAGCTAGTTAAAGGCGAACTATTACCCGGAGTCAAAGTGTTAACCACGTCTCGACCCACGGCAGAGCAAGTCTATAAAAAGCTAGAATTTGATCGAGAGGTTGAGATCCTGGGTTTTCATGAGGAGCAAATTAAACAATATGTTGAAATGTTTTGCTGTAATGACCTGGACCAAAGTACAAAGGTATGGAACTTTATCGAAGAGTCACCAGAGCTGTTGAGCTTATGTTACATACCTGTTAATTCCTATATAGTTTGCTTAACGTTAAGGGAAAGCATTGCCATTGGAACTGATGAACCAGAAGAAGCCGAAGCTCACAAACATGTGCCAAGAACAATTACCGAGTTGTACAAAAGAGCTATAAACATTTTACTTTACCGCCATCATTTAAGACACAAGGACAAACAAATTCCGAAAGACTATATTACCGCAAAGCTTCCTGCACAGTTTCAAAACGACTTGAACAAACTCAAAGAAATTGCAAGAGACGGAATGATGAAAGATCAATTAATATTCGTGTTTAAAAATGATGAATTTTTTGCTGAGCTTTCAGACTGTGGTCTGTTCAATAAATTGGAAGACAAACGGCAGAACATCTTCTGCTTTCTTCACCTTACCATTCAAGAGTTTTTCGCAGCTCTACATGTGGTTGATGATATCAACAATGTTGAATCATTTTTATGTGAGCACTTTCGTAATCCCAAGTGGCACTTGGTGATCCAGTCTGTTGCTGGGTTAATTGGAGATAAAATTAAAGAAATGAAGGAAGAAGGAAGGTATGCTTCTTATAATCACTATATATTATATGAATTAATTAAAAATTTGTTTGCATGCCGGCATGCACTAGCCAGTTCGTTTCTTTTGTATATACCTATATATATATATATATATATATATATATATATATATATATATATATATATATATATATATATATATATATATATATATTGTTATATATATATATATATATATATATATATATATATATATATATATATATATATATATATATATATATATATATATATATATATCTATACCATTATGGAAATAATACCCGTAGACCTTTTTAAAACGCATCTTAATTGTCAAACTATTTTGTAAAGCCATTTTATTATTAGTTCATACAAACATCCATGATCGCTTTTTTTTATTTATTTTTTTTATTTATAAACTTTACAATCAACAAAACGATTGAAGGTACAGACAACAGGACTGAGGAGTCCCAAATTAAGTCAGTACCTACACATTACATTGACATTGTAAAACAATAGAGACAGGTTACAAACTTTCATGGCCAAAAATCACGGACATAATTTATTCTACTTCCTTACTAACTTGCATATCACTTTGAAATATGGCTCGAACAGTATATAGTAGATTGTACAACGCGATGTTGTAAACGCACAATCGGAGAATATGGTAGATTCTTTGCAATTTGCCGCAATCGCTGGATGCAAAAAGCCTGTCGAAGAATTTAGTGTAATATTAGCATGATTTAAGTTACTGCCATTCCTGCTTTTTCTATATTTGTACAGAGGTTAATTTTAACTACATTTGGCTATTTAACTCCGTATAAAAATACCGCACTAGGAATAAACTAAAAAGCAGGAAAACAGCAACTTAAACTAGGCCAAAATTACAGTAGATACATCGTCATCGACAAACTTTGATTTAGCACCAGCGATTTCGGCAAGTTGCAAACGATCTACCATATTCTTAGATTTTGCGATTTACCTCATCGCGTTGTACAATCTATATCTGTTTGCAGTTAAGCCTGCTTTCCACTAGGCGGAATTTTGCGCGCGGAGCGGAATTTTTCTTTGTCTTTTCTAATTAGTTCCACCCGAGAAATCACAAGACAAAGAAAAATTCCGCTCCGCGCGCAAAATTCCGCCTAGTGGAAAACAGGCTTTAAGCCTGATTTCCACTAGCTAGGCGGAATTTTGCGCGCGCAGCGGAAATTTTCTTTGTCTTTTCTAATTAGTTCCACCTGAGAAATCACAAGACAAAGAAAAATTCCGCTCCGCGAGCAAAAACAGGCTTTAAAGCCATATTTCAAAGTGATATGTAAATTTTTATGGAATTCGAATAAATTATGTCTGGGATTTCTGGCCATGAACAATTAAGCTACAATACAAAATTACAACACAGAATCAATGCGTTCCAAACCATCCTTACACTTTCCACGTTAATATGAACTAGACATGGACCGCCCATATATTGCAATCCTTTCTAAGTCAACTGCCTCAAAATGAAGAGACCTGAACCTGAGACCTTCGGAAATGATTAAAAAGATTTATACATATAGATGAGTCAACATTGTGCAGCACAGACACAGACACAGTCACAGAATACAGTAAACATCCTAATTAACATGTATATGTGCTCCAAGCTGTCCCTGCATTTTCCAAGATAGGATTCCAAGAAATAGTAACTCCCCTTCCCCCTGGCACAATGTTGGTTCAAACCATGATTATTGGACCACAAACCAAAATTGTAAACGGGGAGGGGGGAAATTTGGGAAATGTTTGAAAAGTCTACGAATTAATTTCCACTTAACTATCCATGTTGTTAGAAGTGACTATTTCATCATGTTATTACTTGGAATTATCAAAAATAGTTTTACTCATTCAAAAGAACTCTTAAAATTATATATCAAACTCTATTACCGATTTGTCATCTTGCTTAGTTCTCGAAATATTTAGTTAGACCCACAGACCGAAATTAATGAGCTGTCCAGGGTGCATGTTGGACTAATTTTTGACCTCATTAACCAGCACCTAAACCTTCGAACGAGCATATACTCTGGGTACGAGATTGTAAGGGAGATTATAATAATTGTACGCAATCTCGTTCCCCAATCATGCCCGTTCGCAGGTTAAGGGTGAGTTCTACGCATGCTCAGCAATTGTTGCAAAATATAAATAAAGTATTTAGAATTTCTCGTCGAAAATTTGATACTTTTCACACTGAAATCGGATTGAAAACAACTAACAAATTATGAGGAAATATGTACGAAAGCTTCGGATTGATAGGGATACAACTACCTGAAAAATACAAGGAGAACTTCGACGTTTCGAGGGAAGGCCTTTCAACTTGTCACTTGTACTGTTAGTGTTTATATACATCGTACTTCACCTTTACTGATAAATCTCCTCAAGAATGAGTATTATATATTTCTATGCTTTAAAATTTACATTTAACTCTCCTGTCAGAATTTATGGTATACGTAGTGTTAAGTACGACAGTATAAAGGGTCAAGTACTATATATATATACAAACATTAACAGCACAAGTCGAAGCGCCATCGCTCGAAACGTCGAAGTTCTCCTTGTATTTTTCAGGTAGTTGTATCCCTATCAATCCGAAGCTTTCGCACATATTCCCTCCAGAATTTCTAGTTGTTTTCAGTCGATTTCAGTGTAAAAAAGTAGCAAATTATCGACGAGAAATTCCAAATAGTTTGTTTATATTTTGCAACAATTGCCAAGCATGCGTAGAACTCACGTTGGCCGTTCTGCCGTTAGCCAATCACAGGCCTGAATCAATTCGATTTCTCCATAGCTATGCCCACCCTTAACCTGCAAACGGGCATGCTCGGGGAACGAGATTGAATTGTACGAGATTATAATGACGCAGGGGGGGGGGCGAAGATATTTTACATCATGCAATTTTGTTTGCGGTCGCTACAGCTCTTCTACTCCGAATAATTCTTCATGGCCCACCCCAAGGTTAATGTTTATTTTGATAGCCTGATAGCCCCCTTCCTGCATGCACGTATCATATGTTGTACATAAGGGAATAGAATATGTGTATATCATTATATCTGTAGTTATATGACGTCATTACGAAATGGTTCTTTATATATACCTTCTTGTTATATCAGATCAGAAGAGTTTATGAACAAAGAAAAACTAACGATGACACGCATATGTAAGAGGTACGTCATGGTTATTACACTGAGGACTATTAAATATACATACGCATACGGCACTCCTCGCCCGTTTTACCAAATATTCACGGTTTCAACAGGAAGTATTCCGATATTAGCCACCGCTGACGGCTGACCAAACTATCTCGTACACAGCAAAAAGCTCCATGTTGTTGAAAACAGGCTTGAACAACGTTTTGCTGCCCACATTGTTCACAGTTGTCAACAATATTGAACAATATTATTACACCCGATTGGGGCTCAACAATATTGTTCGATATTTGTTGACAAGTGTGAACAACGTTGGCAGCAAAACATTGTTCAAGCCTGTTTTCAACAACATTGTTACAGGCTGGTGTTTTTTGCTGTGTACTCAGAAGGTGCTTTATGTTCTAACACGTTGTGAACGGGTCATATATAAAGCATTTTATAGCTAAGATAGACGGATTTAAGACTGGAAATTATGAAATATATACTGAATGTCATAAACATACTCGTTTATATTAATTCAGCATTGAACAATACTAGTTCTGCAAGTGTTATGTTAGTTGCGTTATTGTACACTCCATAATATGTTAAGATGAAACACAACTAACATAACACTTGCAGAACTAGTATTGTTCGATGCGATATATATTGTTCGATGCGATATATATTGTTCGATGCGATATATACTCTCTAAGTATGTATGAACCTCAAATGGCTAGATAGAAATATATCAAAGAGAAATATCACCTAATTGTCCACAAAGAAGGAGGCTATTGGACAAAAAATCCGTAATTCTATCAAACTGCCGACGGAAATACAAATTCGTGCTTTGTAATTTCAAGGAAACACCCCAAAATAGTTAAGAGATCATTAACAGACAATGGAACTTTAATTATCACCACGTGGTAGACTATAAAAAACAGAATAATAATTGAATGCAATAAGTCGTCTGCTTTTATCGTTCCATTTTAAGCCAAAATGTAATTATAGTTGCAGATTCATGCAGTTACCTCTTTTCAAAACGTAACTAGTTAACGTTACAGCCAGGCGCGCACATTAGGGGGAGGTTTAACTTGAAAATCACAAAAGTCGGTCCCAGTGTTGATTGAGACTGTATCAGCTCTCTCTTGAGAGTTGTTTAATCCACAAGCCACAAATGTCTGGTGTAAACAAGAGCCTTTCTTCATCCAAGTTCTTCAACTCAGTGCCGGAAAGTGCAGGAAATGGCATTTCCGAGCCTCAATTTTGCAAATTGTTCTGCGTGCCGTCTTGACTCGGCTGAAAATCTTAGCTATGTTCCTAACTTAGTCTCCCCCAAATAAGACTCCCCCCCACCCCACCCCTCCCACACGAGCCATTTGTTGAATGTGCGCTCCTAGAAAAGTAACGATTACTTGTAATTTCGTTACTTGTATGATTGAATCCTGCATTTGGCTGAATTCTGTTGTTTGCCGCATTAAGTTCGTTATTCTACCTAATTTCAAGTATTTTCCATGCATTACAAACAAAAATATAATTTCTTTTCTATGTGTTACAAAAAATATAAGCAACAATTTATAGGTAGTGATTATTTTGATAAAATAATCATGCGATGCACAAACATGCGTGATATCACTTTAATAATTGGAAAAATTTCAGCTTTCTCAAAATGTCTTTGCCTAGATTCCAAGACTGGATGCCAAAGTCAGAGGGAGGACGAATATGCTGCAATGAAGAATCTTTGCTTGTAATAAAATGTGTACACGAAATGCAAGAAGTTCGTGTCATGAAACGAATTGCGTCATTTACTTTTGAGGATGATGGTGGAAAACATAAAGAGCTATTGTTGGCTGAATTAGATATTTCCCCGATGGAATGTACCGCTTTGTTCAAATTTCTAGGTTACATCAGGAACTTGAACAAGCTTGTGATCACTCGTTGTAGAACAAAGCATTTCGCTTTCCGTGAATTGGCTAACTTCTTGTGTAAAGACAACGATATTACGGCTTTAGTCATGCATTACCTTGGCATGACAGACCAGGATGCTAAACATATCATTGATGCGCTTAGGAACAAAAAGTGTAAAGTGACTAAATTAAACATAGATACTAATATATTAACAGATGAAAGTGTTAAATACCTGAGTGGTGTTCTGAAGAGCGGCAACTGTAAACTTACTGAATTACACATAGGCCTCAACGAATTAACAGATGAAAGTGCTAAATATCTGAGTAATGCTCTGAAGAGTAACAAATGCAAACTTACTGAATTAGACATGAGTAGAAATAACGTAACAGATCAAGGTGCTAAATATTTAAGTGATGCCCTAAAGAGTGACAAATGCAAACTTACTAAATTAAACATAAGAAACAACAAATTAACACATAAAGGTGATAAATATTTAACAGATGTTAAGAATAACAACGGCGAACATACTGAATTAAACATAACATCATCATGGAATACGTTAACAGCTCATGCTACATATTTAAGTGATGATCTGGACAGTCCACACTATCAAAGTACTAGCTGCTGAATTAAACATAAGATATCATAGTATTAACAAATGTAGGTGCTATATACCGGTAGATTAATATAAATAAAAAAACATATGACGATATTTACAATTATTAATTATTGTTTGTTTTGTACTCATATTAGAAACATTAGGTGTTCGTACGCCAGAGATGTTTGTATTACAGCAAGGTATTCGATAAGAGAGGTATCTGTAGGGTATTGTATATATATATATGTCATGTAATTCCTACTAAAGAGGTGTTCATAGTGCAGAACAGCTATCCGTATAACCGTATTAGAGGAGTACCCGTGTATTAGAGAGCTACCCGTGTATTAGAGAGCTATCCGTGTATTAGAGAGCTATCCGTGTATAGAGAGCTATCCGTGTATTAGAGAGCTATCCGTGTATTAGAGAGCTATCCGTATATTAGAGAGCTATCCGTGTATTAGAGAGCTATCCGTGTATTAGAGAGCTATCCGTGTATTAGAGAGCTATCCGTGTATTAGAGAACTATCCGTGTATTAGAGAGCTATCCGTGTATTAGAGAGCTATCCGTGTATTAGAGAGCTATCCGTGTATTAGAGAGCTATCCGTGTATTAGAGAGCTATCCGTGTATTAGGGAACTATCCGTGTATTAGAGAGCTATCCGTGTATTAGAGAGCTATCCGTGTATTAGAGAGCTATCCGTGTATTAGAGAGCTATCCGTGTATTAGAGAGCTATCCGTGTATTAGGGAGCTATACGTGTATTAGAGAGCTATACGTGTATTAGAGAGCTATCCGTATTAGTGAGATATCTGTATTAGAAGCTATCCATACTAGAGAGCTACTGTATATTAGAAAGCTATCGGTATAAGTAAGCTTGGATAGCGGCGGCGGAACGGGTCTTATTCTGGGTGGGTTAATTTTCAGCTAAAGTGGGTACCGTATTTTTCAGTTAAGTGGAAACACGACATGCAAAACATGACCAACTGTCACAGCAGTGCGTAGAAAGATAATTACTGAAAGCTAGGATGGCTGAAAGCTAGGAGGTGAAAAATGTTGGCTCGGAAATGCCATTTCCTGCACTTTTCGGTACCAAATTGAAGAACTTAGACAACAAAATTGCTTCATAATTGGTTTTGGTAATTTTGTACTGACTTGGTGGGGGCTAAAACCGCCGGCAAGTTAGCATAGCCGCCGGAACTACCTGGCGATGGGACTTTTTTAAGACATATACGACTTAAAGTATTTTTGGCTTAGTCTTCCCGTGAAAACGGTGGTGAC